TCTTTTTGGTTGGTTTTGAATCAGGGTGTTTAGCCAACTTCCCTAGTTGAACTGCCGACGGTTCATTAACCTGGATATCGGCTTTTCGTCCTCTCAATTTGGTGGGAAAACACCTCCGCCGCTAGAAGGCAGTGAGTAGGGCTTCCTCAGCAGAGACTATTTGAGACGCTTGATCATATAGGAGCATTTCGCAGGTTGTAAGGGAATGGTGACCGGTCACAACCCGAGACACCCACCCCCGACCATATTGAAGCTTTCGGACACTCTAACCATGGATTAATCTAATCCCGCGAACTCCGGTTGAGAATTCCAATAAAAACTAAGTAAACAAATACACTAATCAAGATTTGCATACCAGATCAGGATTCTCCCACTCCTGATCTATCTTCCTGAGCAGAAATCAAACCCCGGAAAAGCCTATCCAATGGCGTGTAACACGTTACCTATTCATTTGAATGCAGTGACACATCGTACTAATGCTACATTCACATCAGCATAAAATCACATACTGTCACATTTGAGAACTACGCATCAGTAGCACATCTTGACAAGAAAAACTTTCGGAAACGAAATCACGAGCTGTCGATACAATGTTTTTTGCTCATTTCTTTCATCTTGCAAATTTGAATAAACGCTGTTACTACTTATTAGTAGTCAAAGGTTTATAATAGAAATTACCTACACTCGGTTACTTTTCTTATCCCATAGGGTTTTCGCACAAATAAATCGATTCACGGTTCATAGAAAGATAAGGAATGTGACATATTTTCTTTGTTTTGTGTACCGCTATAGATGTCGAAATTTAAGACTTTACAGTGTTTTACCCAATTTGTGCTTGAACGAATCAGTTGTGGGCGCGGAAACAGCGTGAGGTGGTAGAGAATTCAAAAACTGCATACTCTGGGGGAAAATTAATGATGCCGGTATTCTGGTCGACAGTTTTGGAGCACTTATTTGATTGGCTGTCCTCTGATGTGAGTGGGGTGAGGCTACAAGGTGAAAAACGAACGACATGGGTGATTGGGATTGGGATTTGGATACACCAAAATCAAGTTCCCTCAAATTCGGCGATACTAAGTGGAGTGCAACCCCAGTAATTCCAGTCTTTCCGCACAAGTCTTGGAATTCAGCTCTTTGTTCATTTTAATGATAGTGGACGTTTCAGAATCTTACGATCGCGTTGCAGCCATGGATTTCTCGCCTGAATGACATACTCTATGTGTAGTCGAAAGTAGACTGATAACAAACGTGGAAGTTATCACATCTTGTTATGAGATGAGAAATATTCATTTTAATTCGAAGTTATCAACGTTTCGCATTGTGGGTGGTTTGTTTAAACCAACTCATCGCAGCTAACTTTTTAGAACTGATCATACGACTGTTTTCATATCGATTCCTAACGTTTTCATTTGGTATTTCCCTCATCTTCCCTGAATACTATTTTGGCGTTAGCAAGATAGAAGATGTCCAATTTTCGGTGGAATCTATTCTCATGTCTCTGGTATTATTTAAGCCCTCTCCCCACCCCTTTTTTCCTCTCTCACGCCTCCTTTTCCTTTCAGAGATTTTTAAATGCAAGAAGCGCTTGCAAAGTCACCTGGAGAACATGAAAGCCAGTCAATGGTCTGTCAAACTCTTTTTCACAGGTTATTCATTAGGATTTCGATTTGTGATTTCCTCAACGTTTTATCGTACAGATGAATGAAACTCCACCGGGGGTTGCACAAATGAGACAAATTATTCATTCATTTTTGTTCTATCTGTCTATGATATAGTTTTATTTATATGCTCCAGCTGTTGGGATCTAATGCGGAGCGGTACGCCAGCGTATAATGACTCCATCAAATATACCGTCTCAGACGATCCCTGATAATCATATCCCGTGTGTGGTTGTTTTTACCCGATGAGCTACCTTCCTCGCAGCACAATGCTACACATGCTTGAGAAAGGGGTCGCAATCTGTGCGCATCTGACCCACGAACAAATAAGTCTTGACAATTCACTTAGGTTGTTTGTGACCAAAGGACCCACAGCGAGTGATGTTCTCCAAGGCAGGTAGTGGGTGGAATAGAACCAAGGTCGGTCAACCTAAGACCTGTCATGAGGGCAGAAAACCCCTAACCTGGAGTCTGAGTCACATAGGTTCCGTTAGACTCCCTGCATGGGGACCTCGGGATGATCGTAACGGATGCTCAGAGACAGTGATTGATATGGCTGAATGTCGTAAACAGTGGCGTTTGTGTGTATTCTCAATTTCTTTGCAGCTGTGGTTTAGAATTGTTTTGGTGTTGAGCAGAAGTATCCTTCTCGTATTGATATCAATTTCCCTTACTTTTTCTTTTTAAAGTACGAATTTTTGGTCGTTTCTCAATCTATGCCCTTCCGGTCCGCATCATTATCCTGCCACATTGATAATTTTTGCTATACTTAGAAGGCTTTTTTTTGCGGCTTTTTGGCAGGAGATGAGTTTAAAAGTTTGTTGTTTGTTTTCCCAATAGGCATCCTCATTTTTTTTATTTCACACTTTCGTGTGAAGAATATCAGACGGGGAAAGCCCCTTGGTCACGAGGACCTGCTGTTAAGTAATGGAAACCGGTAACCTAAGTCCCGCGGGGCTTGGAGTGGCGAATCACATAAGGTTAAATGTTTATTGGACCGGACGACAGCAAAGCTGCCTACCACCACAGTTGGGTGATCGTGGCGGGGCTCGAACCATAGGTTCCAAACCATGCCCGTGACAATGACTAAGCCACTGCACCACCACCCCTACCGCTTCATTGGTAATATTGAAAAACTATTTTTGGTTTTTGACTTCCATTCTCATGGCAGTTATATCCGTACGCCTCATAATTTTTATTTATTATCGTTTATATTTGGTCATATCTGGGTCTGAAGTAACCTCTAATCTAATTTGTCATATGCAATTATTTTCATGCGAGTGTGATGGACACAATAAGTTGAAGAAGATATGCCTCACGGCCCTCCAGTTACCATTATCTTTCATTTTTTTGTATCTAAACATCCATTGTCTCTTTGTTCATGTGAATCCTAGTTGTGCTTGTAGGACTGTGACAGATTTGAGCTTACTGCTCCCCTAGCTCGAACAGCACATGCGCAACCCTCATCGAGCCCCTGGCATCTATTGAGCATGATCCATTTGTTTGTTTTTGCCGTCCACTCATCACACAGGAGCTATCCGGAATATGTGGGTCACAGCAGTTCCGGTCGAGCGTTCCATCTTTCTCAGATCGTTCGGCAGATCCAGAAGTACGGTAAGTCACTGAATCGTTTTGTACTTTACCATTTGATCCATAGAAACTCGGGACGATTGTGCCAGTGGTTTTGTGTATCACGCCTTAGCGGCTTATTCTTTTTTGTCAGAATGTGCGCGTGTAACCTGGAATCGAGAGCATATTCGCGGTACAGATTTACAGTTTGACAGTTTATATATACACCAATACACCTTGATACCCAATGGAGCCTGTGATCACTGACACAACCAGGAAGATATGGGTGTATGTGTGTGTGCGGTTCATGCACCTCTTCTTGGTTGATTTGGAATAGGGGGTTTTAGCCAACTCCCAGTGTTACACCGACCCGGATATTGGATTTTCGTCGTCTCACTTCGGAGGGGGAAAACACCTTCGGTACTCGAAGGTAGTGAGCAGGGTTTTTGCAGTAGAGGCTATTTGAGGCGCTTGGTCGTATAGGCGCATTTCACGAGTGCAGGAGAGAAGAGTGACCAAGCGCAACCCGATGCAACGACCCTTGAGCAAACAGAGACGGAGACATTAATCATTATGAATGTATGTGTTTCATTTCAAACCAGATCTGGATGTGCTACGGCTGGCTCCTTGGAAAGGATAAGCCGGCTCCAGACGTGATCATGAAGTTCCTTGGGAGTTTGGCGCGAGAGACGTCACTCAGCGTTTTTTGTTTTTTGAGGGCGCACCTCTGGCCTTTGCACAACCAATTGCGAACTGCAAGGCAGCAGGAAGTAATCCCTCGCCTCGGAAGTGACGGGGTCAATGACTTTAGTCTTAAAAGGCCATCGACCTTTGTCACGACACCGTCTTTGGGCTAATGCGGCTTTTAAACAGGAGCCAGGTGACCAGCCTGAAACCCATCACAATCTGATAGTGCCGCCGCTGTTTGCTCGCGACTGCTTATTTGTTGCGGTATGCCACAACTTATTCACAGCTAACCTTCTTCGGTGAAGGTGGTCCTATATCCTTAACCCGGTGGTGCACCTGGTAGCATTCAGCTCTGCTTAACCCGAGGGTATCCAGGGGATCTGGATGTGCAACGAGGCCGATCGTTGTGTGCACGCCCAAGCTCACTATTCTATCACATACCATTGTGTGCTAAACAACAGATTGAATGAACGCCACCGTCACGAAGTCCTGTGAAAACTGTCAACCTAAGCCGTAGAGTTTAAGGTGGCGACCCACTTATCGCCTCAATAGGATAGGCCTGAACTCCAGTCGAACCACACCGACGTTTTCTGCCATCACCCAACTGATTGGCACGGTGTTTCAACAGGCTAACTGCGGTTCAGGATAATTGATCCAATGTCCATGTTTCATGACCGGTTTCGGCAATCACACCATGATTTCAATTGCACGCATTCTGTTACGAATTTTCGTTTCTGCTCCCTGTAAATTGACTCAGCGGTGATCAGCCTTGAATGAGCCCAAATGAGCAGACGGAATGTATTCCGAACATGCTGTATTTTCAAACAGGTCGGTTAACCCTACTCAATCTGTGTTCTCTTCGATATCAGTGTGTGTGTGTGTATTCTCTTCACATCATTGAGGTGGGGTCCTGACACAAGTACCGTATCCTGTACAAACTGAAATAGCTCCTCATCCAGTTATGGTCAGTGACCGAGTGGGAACAGTCAGCTTGTGACCGCCGGTCAACTTGACTGAATTTCATGCTGATCGTATTTCACACGTCTCATTTGTGTATCATTCACAAATAGAGGAAGCAGTCTCTGTGTCTCGTTTTAGCTCCTCTTGTTGCGGATCGAGCACCTCGCCCCCCCCCTCTCCACGTTGATTTTTGAATCCGCACAAAATCGTGCTCTCCACGTTCTACTTCGACCG